ACAGATTGTTATTTGGTAGCTCTCAGCACAGAAGAGACACAGCCTTTTACACGCGCGCGCGCGCACACACACACACACACACACACACACAGAGATATTTGAACATATATATAAACATATTCAGATACACACACAAAAATAAGGCGGAAGCGAAACCGTCAGTGCTTTTATTGTGAAAAGCTGTTTCCGTGTCATACCGGAAGCGGTGGGCTTGATGCTGAGAGCTTCATGTTGCCGGTCAGCAGAAGGTCAGCCAACAGCAGCAACAGCAGCAGCAGCGGATAGTTGTCGGTCAGGTAGCACGAAGTTAACGATCGATCGGTTAATCGGCTCCGTTTGTGCTCTTTGGGCGGGAAACCGGCAGCTTCCGGTCAGTGTCTACCAAACTAATGCTAACAGGCTAACTATTAGCTGCTAGCATGCAGTGCGCGCACCCCATGAAGAAGAGAAGTCTGGAGGCGGAGCCGCGCCACTCCAAAGCGGTAAGACCTGAGGAGGAGGAGGAGGAGGAGCAGTTTATTAGGAGTAGCCGGGGTCATCAGAGTTTTTGGACAAAAACAGTAATAACTTTATTTAAACAGTTTACAGAGACACGAGCCAAACAAAAACCATAGAAGAAGAAACATCAGCGAAATAAGAGAACTACAAAATATAAAAACTACAAAGTGACATCAGTCCTGAGCCTCTTCAAGTACATCTGCAGGAACATCTGCAGCTTCTCGGTTGCTTGGAGCTCTTATTTGAACCTTCAGATGTGGCTCTGTTCCTCTGATCTTCATACCTCAGCCTTTCCTCCTCGTTCCCTTCATTAAGAACGGCTTCCTGATGGGCTAAAGGTCCAAATCATCTCCCGGGTCCTGTGTCGGGTCTTCAGAACCCGTTCCTCTGCTGTGGAGATTTTAGGCCTCACACTTCTTCTTCTGTCCAGCTTCCTAAGAAGTCGAAGCGCACCACGCTGAGATAAGCAGAGCTTTCAGCTGACAGCTCTCTGGGAGTCGCACTTTCTCCCTTATCTTTCCTGCTTGGCTTTCATGTCCTTTGTATAGTCTCGCTTATTCTCTAACCCTAAGAGAGTCTCCCAGACTTGTTCTCTAAAAACCTAAAGAAGAAATATGGATTTGATCAACTGGTCCCTTAATGGAATTGACACCCTTGGGAGAACCCGATTGTCCTGCGGAGACGTTTGCTGCCGGATACTCGATGGTCGGTTGCGTCGTGTGTCTGACGACGCTCGATGGAGGACAATGAACGACATCTACCAATTCAGAACCACGATAACAGAGTTCTGGCTGATTGGAGCTGGTTCAGCTTATTGAAGAACAAGAATCCCACCAGGCTGGCCGACATGACAGACGATGGGCAGGGCTGTGAGTAAGACTGTGTTTATTGAACGCAATATGGATACGATCTTGGAGAAGAACGGGAATTGAGAGACCTGGTGACCAGTGACGGACATTAGACCAACTGTAAAATTGGAAGCAGTTTGTTTGCCCCAAAACAGCTGCCATCTCCATCATGAAGATGCTCAGGGCACAAGCTGACGGGAATAACAAAACTCTCCTTTAGATAATAAGACTGTTTGTTGTGACTCTCTCCCTCCTCATTCAAGGCCGCCCGTGTCGACCGAAGATTGTTGACTTTTGCTTAACCTTTCTCTCGGCTGAACACACGCATGCACACGCACACATACACACACATGTGCATGTACACTGACACAGAGCTTCATGGATTCATTAAAGAAACGGGAACGCTGACGTGTTTCTGTGACGGGAAACAACGGGTCAGAGGGGACGTGAGACGCTGCATGTAGAGGTAACTCTGTATGTGAAGTTGGGGTTTTGAAAACATGTTTAGCACAATCTTGTGTCGGTACAACTGTTTGCTTGTGTTGGGAACATTTTGCTTTTTGCATAAAGTTGGCTGATGGCAGCACGTGAACATCTGCTTTGCAGGCTCGATGAGGAACAGCTGCAGACTCCAGCATGTCGGTCTGACACAGTCCTCGTTTATAAAGTGCGTTACAAACACCAGCATCACGGCCAACAGCTGGATGTTCCTGTTTGAGTGCAGCCAGCCAAACAGCCACTTCCTGTTTACAGTTTATCCTGGTTTAACATGGACTCACTGCTGCAGCACCACAGTGATCCCCTCACACTGCTGTTTACTTTCCTCAGGTATAACATAAACTAATGTGAGCCTGTGAGCCCGGCCAACCAACCGCGTGACGTCACACTCCGTGCTGACAGAAGATGGCGCTGAACATGTTTTTAACACTTGAAGCACTGATTTCTTAAAGCCAGCGTCACAGACAGAGTGACAGCTGTGGGAGTGTCTGAGAGCAGGTCCGTGGGGTAAAGGAGGTGTGCAGCACTGAGGGCTGACGGAGGCCACTCAGTGACTTCTTCATGACCTCTGTGGTTGCGTGCTGTACTTCTGGATTACCAAAACGCAAGTTTAGAAGGAAAGTGACACACCTGCTTAGCCCCACCCCGTCAGTGAGGTCACAGTTTCAGGTGAGGTCCTCAGGTGTGCTGATGGTGCTGATGTTGGTTTTTTTTTTTCAGAAGCGGCTCTGTTTGGAGGCGGAGCTCCAGATGTCCGACTGTCCAATGGAGACGTCGCAGAGCAGTCCTGCGACCAATCAGCAGCCGGATCAACAGGTGAGCTCGTCGAGCTTCCTCTGACTAACACAAGATGTCATTAAGATGTGAGGGTCAGAGGTCAGCTTCAGATAAACGTGGTGGAAAGTCCTCACCGTGTTCAGCTGGAGGACAGGTGTACAGGTGCTGTTGCTATGGTGACTTGTGTGTGTATGCAGGTACGGCCCACACCTGTTCTGCTCTGCTGTCCGAGGTGTCTCAGAGGAGAACCGGTAAGACGCCGAACTCACGAAACATTTAAGCCCTGCCCCCTGTGGAAGCGAGGCTTACAGAGTCGTCTCTGTGGCTCCGTGATTGGCTGAGAGCCTCAACGGTGTCTTTCTGCCTTTTCAGGGTCACTTCAACCACATCATGGGCCTCTGAAGCTCCAACCATTCTCCTGCAACCAGCCGTCCAATCACATTGATGCTTCAGGTGCTTCACTAAAATGGTGCTGCTGGAAGATGTCATCAAGGCCCCACCCCACCTTCACATCGTTGTCAAGGAGACGGTTTAACGTTTCCATCCAGTGATGCATTCAGGACCAGCAGTACTCCTCAGACTTAAGTTCTGAAATCTCTGATGTCCTTGTGTCCCTGAACACACCACTGAGTGTGAGCGTTTACCTGAGCTTTAAGCCCACCCCCTCTCCTGTGTGATATGTGCAACAGTCCAATCAATGATCAATAACTGTGATTGACGTGGTGGTGCGTTCACTGTCTCCGTTTAAAGGGCTTTCACACGGTGAAGACTTGTGATGTGTTTACAGGAAAAATGCCAGTAGAATATTTTTTAACTCCAGTATAGAACCGACTGAAAGGCTTAACGAGGTGTTAATGAGAGTTTACTATAAGGGGAAGGAAAATCCATGTGGTTTTTCAAAATAAGAGTCTTCGTGTCTGTACATTTCTATTTTTCTGAGGCAGATTTGTATATTTTTTACTCTGAATTTGACTGAATGTAAAAGCAGCTCCCTATTTTTGATGACATCACTTCCGCTATCTGAGGCCAGCATTTGTACTGATTTCAGAATAAAAGCTTTGACTGTGAACAGCTTTGTCCCCCTTTTCTTTTGACTAAACCAACAAACAAGCTGAAGCGAGGAGAACAGTGATGATGGCAGCTGGGGCGTTTCAGAGAGCACGGTGGCGCCTTTAATGGTCAACGACCTTTGACCTTCATCGTGCTGGAGAAGTGTTGATGCTCTAGATCTCAGCTGAACATCGTATGTTTAAAGTGACTTTTTGTCAGCCTGGCTACAGTGCTGAAGAGAAACCTGGTGTTGTTCTTATTTTCTTCAATCAGTGATGAATAGTAAGATGTTCTGGCTTTGCGGAGGGCTTTCTTATAAAGCAGCAAACTATTTCTCCAGGCTAAATGATGATCCTCTAAATTTGTGACACGCCATTTCCTCTCCAGATTACGAGTCATCTGCTTTAGGCTACGTGTTTGAGAATTATACCACGGAGTCAGGTACTTCTGATTAGAGACCTTAGTTTTCACTGGAGCTACAGTATCCAGAGTCGTACGTAGTGAGGAGGTGAAATTATTAACAAGATAATCGACCTCTGTTGGAGCAGCGTTCAGATAGCTGCTCTGCTCTGTGTTGGTACAGGGCATTGAAGATGATAACAGTGGGTGGATTATATTCTTAAACTTAGTTACAGCGCTTTCAGAAAGACATCTACTGTCATCTTTTCCTAAATGTCTTTACAGGGAAAAGACTTAAAGTTCATGAAACTACAGTTAGAAAAAGACTAAACATGTAAGGCTTGTTTGGAGGAAACGCAGGAGAAAGGGTCTTCCGTCTAACATGCAAACCTGGGTTTGGAAAGCGTTTTGGAACAAACCTCGTCCATAGTCTAAGGAGCTGGGACTGGACCCGTTTGTCCTTAATGCACAGCAGGGTTCGAACCCCTCACACGAGCCATCAGCACGGTGGATGATGATCCGAGAGCAGCGTGAACTCCTCTGCCCACCAAAGCATTCTACATTCGGAGGCTGTCTGTCCCACAGCTGACGCTTGGACCAAACCGGGTCATCAACAGGACGATGAGCCAAAAGAAAAGAACAGAGCTGCTGCTACGGTCCAGTCAGAGCTCAGAGAGCCGTGCATGAATGAACGCTGCAAACCTCGATGAGACGAAGCTGAGTGAACCACAGCAAACCATTAATGCTGATGATAATGGAGCTTCTACAAGCTGCTGAGTCACAGTTTGGTCCTCACAGAGCTGCACAGTCCAAATTTCCATATGATTGTAAATAAAAACCAGTTTCATCTGCATATAAATTGACTTTTTGTTTGAATTGTTGGGGAGCACAGAGGATGGAAGCAGAGGCCCTGCTGCACAGAGACAAATGTGAATTCTTCAAACTGTTTATTAAACTCAGAATTTGCTTTAAACTGTCAGCAGAAACAAAAAAAACATCAACAATTTGAAAAAAAAGGCAGGAGAAGAAACCGGAGTTGGCCCGCCCTCCTCCACCGTATGCCCCACCCTCCACCGCTATCGGCCACGCCCCCTACACAACTGACAGTCCCCTCCTCCTCCGATGTCGGTCGTTCTCGCGGTCACGTTGGTTTGGCTCTCTTGGCTGCTGGAGTTTCACCTGTTCGGGTAGAAACACACCTGGTCAGTTACCTGTTTATCTTCAGCACTGATGACACAGCTTACAATCAGTACTCCGAAGCCCACTCGGTGGTACACAGGACCCCACTCTGGGTTCCGGTTATGTTGCTACACGCTGGAACATTCAGAAGTTGCCATCCAGAGAACACATCCTGGACATGTCCTCCTTTCTGACCACAGAATGACCAAACTTTGAATAAAACAAACATCTGTTTCCAAGAGCGACCATCTCAGGGCCAGGGTCATTTCCTCTGATGCTGTTATTGAGGTTGTGCAGACGTGGCCATTGATCACATGACGTTCGGCCGTCCGTCAGTGTTGGACTGAAGCTTCAGTCACACGGGCTTAGAGACGACCGTCTGTGGGGGAAATGAGTATTCCTGACCGTGAGTCCCGCTGCAGCCGGCTCAGGTCACTTCTTCAGGAAGAAATGTTTCAATAAACCCGAACATCCAGGTGACATTCAGGACGGACGTCCAGCACATGGACGTGTCTGATATCAGCCAGTTTCAAGAGGTATTTGACTCGCTCATCATCACTTTATTCCACCGCAGCTCAATCGCCACAGAGCACAAACATCTGTAACATCTGTAAAGATAACCGGACTTAAACCTACCGTCTACTGAGCTCTGTGGCGCCTCCTGCTGGCTCCTCGTGGTGTAGATGATTCCGCTGGCTGTCCTCCTGGTTTCTGACCACAAACAAACAAAGTGTTTCCTGAGAGGGTTCGTGCTCGCTCACAGGTGCAGGTGCAGCACCGGGTGCTCACCTGCATGCAGCAGAGCGGCTCTGCAGGTGGACGAGACGGCTTCTTTGGCGTCTCCGTCTGACAAACCGAACAGCAGAGCTCTGAGGAGGAGCATCAGGACCACAACACCACACGCAGTAACACACGCAGTAACACGCGCAGTAACACACGCAGTAGTACTGCAGTAACACACGCAGTAGTACTGCAGTAACACACGCAGTAGTACTGCAGTAACACACGCAGTAGTACTGCAGTAACACACGCAGTAGTACTGCAGTAACACACGCAGTAGTACTGCAGTAACACACGCAGTAACACACGCAGTAACACATGCAGTAGTACTGCAGTAACACACGCAGTAGTACTGCAGTAACACACGCAGTAGTACTGCAGTAACACACGCAGTAACACACGCAGTAGTACTGCAGTAACACACGCAGTAACACACGCAGTAGTACTGCAGTAACACACGCAGTAGTACTGCAGTAACACACGCAGTAGTACTGCAGTAACACGCAGTAACACACGCAGTAGTACTACGCAGTAACACACGCAGTAGTACTGCAGTAACACACGCAGTAGTACTGCAGTAACACACGCAGTAGTATTGCAGTAACACACGCAGTAGTACTGCAGTAACACACGCAGTAACACACGCAGTAGTACTGCAGTAACACACGCAGTAACACACGCAGTAGTACTGCAGTAACACACGCAGTAACACACGCAGTAGTACTGCAGTAACACACGCAGTAGTACTGCAGTAACACACGCAGTAGTACTGCAGTAACACACGCAGTAGTACTGCAGTAACACACGCAGTAACACACGCAGTAACACACGCAGTAACACACGCAGTAGTACTGCAGTAACACACGCAGTAGTACTGCAGTAACACGCGCAGTAACACGCGCAGTAGTACTGCAGTAACACACGCAGTAACACACGCAGTAGTACTGCAGTAACACACGCAGTAACACGCGCAGTAGTACTGCAGTAACACACGCAGTAGTACTGCAGTAACACACGCAGTAACACACGCAGTAGTACTGCAGTAACACACGCAGTAGTACTGCAGTAACACACGCAGTAACACACGCAGTAACACACGCAGTAGTACTGCAGTAACACATGCAGTAGTACTGCAGTAACACATGCAGTAGTACTGCAGTAACACACGCAGTAGTACTGCAGTAACACACGCAGTAGTACTGCAGTAACACACGCAGTAGTACTGCAGTAACACACGCAGTAACACACGCAGTAGTACTGCAGTAACACACGCAGTAGTACTGCAGTAACACACGCAGTAGTACTGCAGTAACACACGCAGTAACACACGCAGTAACACATGCAGTAGTACTGCAGTAACACACGCAGTAACACACGCAGTAGTACTGCAGTAACACACGCAGTAGTACTGCAGTAACACACGCAGTAGTACTGCAGTAACACACGCAGTAACACACGCAGTAACACATGCAGTAGTACTGCAGTAACACACGCAGTAGTACTGCAGTAACACACGCAGTAGTACTGCAGTAACACACGCAGTAGTACTGCAGTAACACACGCAGTAGTACTGCAGTAACACACGCAGTAACACACGCAGTAACACATGCAGTAGTACTGCAGTAACACACGCAGTAGTACTGCAGTAACACACGCAGTAACACATGCAGTAGTACTGCAGTAACACATGCAGTAGTACTGCAGTAACACACGCAGTAGTACTGCAGTAACACACGCAGTAGTACTGCAGTAACACATGCAGTAGTACTGCAGTAACACACGCAGTAACACACGCAGTAGTACTGCAGTAACACATGCAGTAGTACTGCAGTAACACATGCAGTAGTACTGCAGTAACACACGCAGTAACACACGCAGTAGTACTGCAGTAACACACGCAGTAGTACTGATGAAGGATACAGGTTGGTGACATCATACGGTCCTCTGAGCTCGAGAGCCTGCAAACAAAAATAAGCGTACTGAGCACGGCCACCAATCAATCAGCGATCAATACAGTCACCGATCACAGACCTTCTGAGCTGCACTGGACAGAATCACACTCTGAGAAAAAACACAAACACAATTTAGTCACGTGACAGGAAGTCGAGTCGTTGGTACAGGAAGCATTGGAGAAACAGCGCCACCTTTCCCTTGCAGCTCTCCATCAGACTGACGGCGTTGGCGATGGTGTAGCGCCTCATGGTGGAGTCTCTGATGGCTGCAGAGTACGACACCTCGAACACCACACCTCTGTCTATGGCCTACACACACACACACAAACACACACATTAATAAACAGTCACGTGACGGTCGCAGTAATAATCTGGGTCACGATGCTCAGTCACCCCGTTGATTGGCGCTCTCTTGAAGAAGAAAGGAAGTTTCTCCGTCATCGGCACACAGATGATGTCGATGTCATAAACCATGCAGGCTGCCTGCACACACACACACACACACACACACACACACACACACACACACACACACACACACACACACACACACACACACACACACACACACAGGGTTACATTACATGCATATGAGAGGTTTTGGAACTGAGCATCCAATCATGGTGCTGATGTGTGTATATTGTGTGTGTGTGTGTGTGTGTGTGTGTGTGTGTGTGTGTGTGTGTGTGTGTGTGTGTGTTACCACACAGCAGTGTTATTTTTACGCAGTGTTCAGGTGCAGCACGAAAAGCCAGATTTATTTTAAAAGTGTGCAAATAAAGCTGATGAAGCAGAAAGTCCTGCAGTCAGTGAACACAGCACAGTGTTTGCGTGTCAGTGAAGCTCACGTGGAAAAGTTTCTCTGAGGTTGGCTGGACAGCGAGCAGGTCGAAGCGACGGTACTCCGGAGCGTTCGGCCTCTGAAAACACACACACACCAAACCATGAATCAGGTTGTCACCCTTCAGATTATCATCCTGTAACCATGGACACGGCTGATGTAATCTGGAATCTCTTTAATTCAACTTTAGCAGAAACCACGGTTGCCTCTAACCACTCGAGTAATCCTGTAATCCAGATATTTAAAATGTACTTTACAGCTGACACAGGCCCCGCCCCCCTCAGATTGATTATGAAGACGTGATCGATGAGTTTACAGGTTTATGAAACGTCGGAGTTTACAGAACTCACAAAGTGACTCGCGTCTGACATCACCACCGTCAGCCTGTTCAGCACTCTGATTGGACGAGATCGACCCTGCACCACGGGCAGCTGATCGATCAGTTCGTTGATCGGAGTCGGGGTGGGGATCTCCTGCAGGAAGGAAGTGACACAAAATAAACATCTGAAGCTACGGATGCTTTTTGTTAAAAACTAGCCACAGATGTTTTATTTATTGATTGCTAATCAGACAGGTTCAACCTGAATATTAATTCCACGGTTTCTGTGCTGTTCCTGAACGCAGCGCAGCAGGTGCACTCACCTGTTTCTTCTTGGCTGTGGGCTCAAATACGTAGTTGAGGGCGATGGTGGAGAACCCGACTGCAGGAGGACAGAAACACATGTGTGAGGGCTGGAAGGTTTTCACCGTGCGATGCAACGCATCTGAGCAGGAGGCGGCTGATAATCACTGACAACTGCATAAATGTCACGGACACACTCACAGCAAGAGGAACCTCTAAAACGGCCTGTTTTTTGAATGGAGTCTGGTGTAAACGCTGCTCACAGATTACATCTGCACCTTGGCTTACTTGATGCTGAGTCAGATTTCTGCGTTAAATCTTTTTCATTTTGTTTCAACTAAACTCGTAAAACCGTTAAAAATTGCAGATTTTTGAATGGAGTCTGGTTTGGCTGTTGTTTGTTGTTTTGGGTGTAAAGCTGATCATTGAAACTTGACTGACAGGACGTTTCACTAATAATAAAGTGACCGTGAGAGGCTGAAGACATCAAACCCTCCTCAGTGACAGGTGGAGGGCATCAGAGAGGAGGTGAGACTGGTTCAGGTGTTACTGAGAGATGAGATCAGTGAGGATGAGGACATTTACAGGAGGAAGCAGGAGTGGAAACTCCAGCAGAACAGCATGAGAGAGCAGAGGAGGGTGAGGGCAGAGGTAAGGAGTGAATGTGTTGTTCACCAGATTTACACTGCAGGTAAAACTCCTCCCCCTACAGCCTTACCTGTAGTCAGCCTGCAGTCCACAGCCACACCCCTTCCCCACCTGTCACTTTCACTCACAACCAGGTTCAGAGACAAACGAGAAGACTCCACTCAGCCAGGTCTGCTGGACCAGCCGGCGAGCACCATCAGGCCGACCCTCCTGGGTGATCAGCTAACAGTGATGCAGGTGGATTCGCTGGTGTCCTGGATTGTTGTTACCTGTTGTTACAGGAAGACCACAATATGTGCGTCTTCCACAGTGTGTGTCTGACAAGGTGATCGGCACCACAGGGGACCGTTCTATCCCCTCCACACCACAGACTTCAGCCACTGCACACAGACCTCCATCATCAGTAGGGTTTCTGATGACTCTGCGGTGGTTGGATGCATCGGTGAGGGTGATGAGTCAGAGTACCGGGCTGTGGTCGACTCCTTTGTGACGTCACACAGAATCATCTGCAGCTCAACGTGGCAAAGACCAAAGAACCGATTGTGGACTTTAGGAGGACCAGGAAACCTGTGACCCCTGTTTCAATCCAGCGTGAGGACGTTGTGGAGGACTAGAAATACCTCAGAGTGCACATAGATAATAAACTGGACTGGGTTAAAAACAGCACTGCCCTCTACAGGCAGGGCCAGAGTCGTCTCTGAGGTCCTTCAACATCTGCCAGACAACGCTCAGGATTTTCTACGAGTCTGTTGTGGTCAGTGCATCCTCTGTGCTGTTGCACACTGGGCCAGCAGGTTGAGGGTTGCAGAAGCCGACAGACTCAATAAACTGATCACAAGGCCAGTAATGCCTGCTTACAGACCGCTCGTTAAAACCACCAAACCGGTTCGTAAGCAGATACAAGTGTGGCCAGAAGGGTCTTCAGAGGCTTTACAGGACTGCTTTAACACCACAGACTGGAACATGTTTAAGCAGGCTGCCACCTACAACAACACCACTGACCTCCAGGAGTACGCAGAGACTGTTACAGCCTACATCAACAAGTGTATTGAGGATGTAACAGTCACGAAAACCATAACTGTCCGGGCCAATCAAAAACCATGGATGACAGGAGAGGTCTACAGGCTGCTGAAAGCTCGGAATGTTGCCTTCAGAGATGGAGACGAGGCGAGCCTGAGGACAGCTAGGGCCAACCTTTCCCGTGGCATCAGAGAGGCTAAGAGACAGTACTCCAGGAAAATATCTCATCACTTCAAAGACAGCAGAGACTCACGGAGCCTGTGGCGGGGCATTCAGACCATCACAGATTACAAGCCCCCACCACAGACTTGTGACAGTACTATCCCCCTGCTGAACGAGCTGAACACTTTCTTTGCTCGCTTTGAAGTCCGAAACAGCACCACTGCACAGAAGACCCCACCCCCTCCTGGTGACCAGGTGATGACTCTGTCCCCGGACAGCGTGAGGAGATCCCTCAGCAGGATCAATGCACGTAAAGCTCCGGGTCCTGACAACATTCCTGGTCGTGCACTGAGAGACTGTGCAGTGGAACTCACTGATGTCTTCACTGACATCTTCAACATATCACTCATCCAGGCTGTCGTCCCCACATGTTTTAAAGCCACCACAATCATTCCGGTCCCAAAAAAGTCATCTCCCTCCTGCTTTAATGACTACCGTCCTGTTGCACTTACTCCCATCCTGATGAAGTGCTTCGAACGACTAGTCATGCAGCACATCAAGACTGTCCTGCCCCCCTCCCTGGATCCCTTCCAGTTTGCGTATCGGCCCAATCGCTCAACCGATGATGCCATCTCCACTGCACTCCACTCGGCACTCACACACCTGGACAAAAAAGATTCATATGTTCGAATGCTGTTCATAGACTTCAGTTCAGCATTCAACACTATAATCCCCCAACAGCTCATTCAAAAACTGGTCCAGCTGGGGCTCAACACCTCACTGTGCAACTGGCTGTTGGATTTCCTCACCGGAAGACCTCAAGCAGTACGGGTCGGCAGTAATACATCCAGCACCATCATTTTAAACACGGGGGCCCCGCAGGGATGTGTGCTGAGCCCCCTCCTCTTCACTCTGCTGACCCATGACTGCACTCCATCACACAGCTCCAACCTCTTCATCAAGTTTGCGGACGACACAACGGTGGTGGGTCTCATTAGCAACAGGGATGAGACCGACTACAGAAGTGAGGTGAGACGCCTGGCCACGTGGTGTGCTGACAACAATCTCTCTCTGAATGTGGAGAAGACGAAGGAGATTGTCGTGGACTTCAGGAGAATGCACACCCAACATGCTCCTCTGACCATTGACGGAGCGTCTGTGGAGAGAGTGAGCAGCACCAAGTTCTTGGGTGTGCACATCACAGAGGACCTCTCCTGGACGTACAACACCACAGCACTGGCCAAGAAATCACAGCAGCGTCTCTTCTTTCTCCGCAAACTAAGAAGAGCAGGAGCACCAGCCCCCATCATGTACACTTTCTACAGAGGCACCATCGAGAGCATCCTGTCGAGCTGCATCACTGTGTGGTTTGGAGCCTGCAATGCGTCCTGCCATAGAACCCTCCAACGCATAGTGAGAGCTGCAGAGAGGATCATTGGTGTCTCTCTCCCCTCCCTCCAGGACATTTACAGCACCCGTCTCACTAAAAAAGCCCTTTGCATAGCGGCTGATCCCACGCACCCAATGCAAAGCTTCTTCAAGCTGCTGCCGTCAGGGAGGAGACTGCGGAGTCTCCAGGCCAGGACCAGCAGACTGAAGGACAGCTTCATCCATCAGGCTGTCAGGAAGCTAAACTCCCTCCCGATTCTGCCCCCTCTCCCCTCCACGGTCTCACTGAACTCTGTCACACACACACACACACTCACTCTCTGACGCACTCACTGGCCTGCTCCAGTCACTTTGTGGAGCATTGGACTGCCATTACCTCATAAGACTTTGCTGTTACACTATCTCTTACCGTACACTACTAAATCTCCATTGCACTATTTGCCTATTTTGCACCACTATGCCTTCTTACTTGAATATTGTATATTGTATATTGCATAGATTTTTTTTGTTATACGTAAAATTGTATTGTATTTATTTAAATTTTTACTTTTTAATTATTTTATTTGCATTTTTCTAATCACTAGGGTTTGAGAGTAACGCAATTTCTATTCTGTGTATGTCCTGTACATGTGGCAGAATTGACAAATAAAGGTGACTTGACTTGACTTGACTTGTAATGTTGTGGGGAGGGAACTGGTCTCCCTCAGGGTGGTGTCTGAGAGGTGGATGTTGTACCAAATAAAGACAATACTGGACAATACCTCCCACCCACTCCATGACATGCTGGCCAATCACAGGAGCACGCTCAGTGAGAGACAGATTATCCATAACGCACCTGCATCTAACACACTGTGATAGTTACAGCCTCACTATCAGAGGAACGAAGTCCGCAGGACAAGAGTTGCTCGATGTTAACACTTATACATTTACTGTGTGTAACTGATTATGGAGCTGTTTGTTCTAAGCTGTATTATGTTACTTAGTTCAGTGTGTTACGGCTCTGACTCGGAACAACTGCGACCACATAATTAAAATCATCAGTCTCTCGGGAATAGAGGGTACAGACTTTAGTTTACATTTCTGCAAACCGCGGAGAAACCTTAAAATGACTGTTTTTTTTTAATGGAGTCTGATGGAAAACTTCTTGCCTGCCCTTTTCCACCAGACTCCATTCAAAAAACAGTCATTTTTAAAAGCCGCTGGTCCCGGAGACAGGAGCGTTACGTTCCCGCGGCTGAGCAGCGGCAGGCCGGCGAACAGAGCGTTGTCTGCGGCCGCGGACACTCACGGTGAGCCGCCGTCTCCACGACGCTGCGCAGGTCGCTCCTGTCCGGGAGAAACGACACGTTCAGGTCCATAAACACAGCCATGATGCCTCCGTCCGCCGTTCCACCACGTGTGCGCAGCCGCAAAGACTGCTGGGAACAGCAGTCCTCACGTCACAGCCGGAAGTAGCATTAAAGTCTTTTTTTTTTTAATTAAACTTTATTTATAAACAACAGTATAACATACAAGGCACCATCATTAATCCGATTATGTTACATCCTCGGTTGAGCATTATAGCAAAACAAACAAACAAACAAAACGAACAAAAAAAACCCCCAAAACAACAACAATAAGCACAAAGTTAAAAGAGTTAGCACAAAAAGAAAGAACAGTCATTGAAGGATTCGAACCAAAGGCAAAAACTAACGTGCAAAAAAAGGGCAGTCGAGATTATAAAATAGGGAGTTCTTTTTTTTTTTTAACATAGGTTAAACTCTTTAAATAAAACAAGTTTATGGGCTTTCTTGTTATTCACAAGTTTCAGCGATTTAGCCCAGAGTCTAAAGTCATTCAGCCATCTGTTTATACATGGTTTAGCTTTAAAGTATCTGCATTTGTGAATAAAAATTTTTCCCATTAACAAAATCGTCCTAATCAACAGGTCAAAATCTGCATTCTCAGCAAGTATTCCAAATTTTATTACTGTCACCGTCAAATGTGGTAACTGAATTCTCCTGGACTGTAGCCAGCTCCACATGTCAGTCCAGAAGGAGTGCACTGATTCACAGTTGAAAAACAAGTGATCCAGACTTTCAATATCATTTTCACAAAATGTGCAGGCGTTCACATCTAAATTAAATTTCCGTCTTAAGAATTCATTGGTTGGATAAACCTCATTAATGATTTTAAAGTGAACCTCTTTTGCTTTAGGGGAAAGAGGAAGTGAAATATATTTTTTTCTTATCGCCTTAACCTCCATGGTCTCAAATTCTTTAAGGATATAATTTCTTTTAACCGGATTAGGGCAAATTTCGTTGATCAAAATATTCCTGATCACTTTGTTTGTAAACCTGCTGTCACCAAATTCAACTCCAGCTATGCAGAGCTGCCTCAGTCCAGGAGAAATTTTAGAGTGCACAATATCTTCTTTTATCATTGATCTCAAAGGGACTGGAATGGCTTTCACTAGGGATTTATATCTCTTAACAGTACATCTTACATCAAATTTCTCACAAAACGTCTCATGTTTTAATAAGATCCCATTATCATCCATAAAATGAGCTACAGCCCAAATCCCTTTAGATCTCCATTCATCCACGTACACAGATTTCCTACACAAACGGATATACCAGGGCCCTGTTTCAGGAAGCCGGTTTAGAAAACTCAGAGTGAAAAACGATACTCAGGGTTGAGTAACCCCGAACTGTCCAACTCGGAATATTCGGTTTCAGAAAGGCTGATAACAATTAGTTCAATCAACGCGGAGTTGCTTTAACCCCAAGTGAAGCGCGCGGACGAGGATACATAAAGCCCTGATAAGCGGAGCACAGATTAAGCGAGTCACCATGGAGACGGAGGGAAAGAAGGCGCGGTCAATGTATTTCACAGCGCTTGAGGCCGAAATTCTGATGGCAGCATATGCTGATAACATGCAAATTTCTCAGAAAAAAAGTAACACAGCGACAGCTGCAAAAGAAAGTGAGCATGCATGGCAAAACATAGCCGACAGAGTCAATGCGTGAGTGTTAATTTAAACATTGATCTAGGGATTTCCACCCAATTAACACGTTATTTTATCATATGTTATTTTATTTGTTATTTTATACATTTTATTTTGTGATGTGATGTGAGCGCAGGTGCAACCCAACAGGCCCCAAACGTTCCTGGCAGCAAGTAAAAATGAAATATAAAAATATAGTCCAAACAGGTGAGGTGTAATTGTATTATGAGCCATAGTGCTTGGTCTGTTTGTCCCATGTAAATCAATTGCAGTTAGAGGCTACATTAATTTTCTTTCTGTAAGCACTTGTTGAAATTATCTGAGCACATTACAAGTACATATTTGCTTACTCTGTATGCTCAAATGTGACCCGTTATAGCCAACAGAAAAAAAGCGGAGGCCCGAAAAACAGGTGGGGGTCCTCCACCACCACCACTCACAGAGGCTGAGCAGTTGGCCCTCAGCCAAAACAGTGGGCGCCCTGTGGCTGAAGGCATCTCTGCGGGGACATCCTCTGAGTCAATAACCCCGCAAGACACAAGTGCCTACATAGGGGGTAAATTCAAAATAATACATGATGTGCATACATCCTTTCTTCACAGTCACCTTTGCAGTGCTGCTCATTCATTTGATAAACTCTTTACCATAATGGATTATTTTGTAGTGAAGTTATTTTCCTACTGATTTTGCCTTCCCTCAGTCTTGGTTGTCTTTGAGAGCATAATGACAATGAAGTGTAAGGTGATTGGTATGTTTGTTAATTGCCATTTGGTCCCTTGTAAGTTATAAGTGACCTGTATAAACCTCATATTCTATCAGTTGATGGTGGTGGTGTACTGCATCTGGTGCAGCCTCCTGTTGAGCCAGACCAACATGCAGTTGTGAGTAATACTCCACAGATTATATGAGTTTACAGTAGAACAGCAATGTTGTTAATTTCTTTACTACAGGAAAATAATGAAGAAACATTGACAGCTGTTACAGAGGAGGAAGCAACAGAGACACTTTATGAGGTTTACATCTTTTAATACTTTGTGTACAGGAAACACAGGCGACCAATAAAGCCAGTTGAACAAAAAATCTGTTTATTCTTCTTTCAACATGTTGAGGTGATGGGTCAAAAGAAATGATTGTGACATATGGTGTCTCTGACTGCGCTTCCATCTTGTATGTCCGTGGGAGGGTCAGGATGTTCATGGTTTGGATCACTGCTGATGTTTGGTTCAGAAGGACAGTGTTCTCCTCTAATTGTGGCAATGTTGTGTAGAATCACACATGCCACAATAATGTCACATGCCCTTTCTGGGGTGACCCTGAGTCTTTGCAGGCACTGGAACCGGGCCTTAAGCATTCCGATAGTCATTTCAACTCTGGCTCTTGTCCTGCAATTAGCCAGATTATATCGCTGCTGTGGGCCCGGTTCAGGGTCAGGGTAAGGGGTAAGCAAATAGGGTAAACATGGATACCCCCTATCACCAAGCAAGTAGCCAGTGAACTCTCCTAAGACAGAAGGATACACTTCAGTTCAAATGTCCCTGAAGCAATTGGTCTTTATATATTTTAAAGTATTCTCAACTCACCATGTCCAAATTTTGTGCTCAGTGTACATTCACGGAATATTTGTGAGTCATGGACAGAGCCTGGCCACTTGGCTTCCACATTTGTGATAATGTTGGCAGCATCACATATGATCTTCACAGTGCAGAGAACACAAATTAGCATCCATTACTATAATGAAATAATTTGTTAGTTTGACATGCTACAGGGAACTATGTACCTGTACATTACTGCTGTGGAAAGACTTCCTGTTCACATAGTCTCCTTCATTTACTGAAGGAGCAATGATTGGAATGTGAGTGCCATCTATACAGCCAATCACGCCTGGGAACCCTGAAAATAAATGTGCAATTTAAGTAGTAGTTCAAGTATCACCACATCATACATTAAGTTTTGGTCATCCTGATACCTGCAATTTTGTGGCATCCCTCTTTGATGAATCTTGTGGGTCTATGACCGGGGAACACCACAGACGAGTACAGGAGACGTTTCAGTGCAACTGTAACATTCCTGACTGCCCGACAGACGGTAGCCTTGGAAACGTGCTCAGCGTCACCAATATTATACAGAAAGCTCCCGTTTGCAAAAAACCGAAGTGCAATACAAATAATATGTACAGAACTGAGAGGATGTCCACGATGTGTCACATGAGCAATATTAGGCCTGAGGATGTTATCCAAATAAATTATAGATTGTGCTGAAAAACGGTAACGTTCACACAGAAAATCATCAGGAAATGATAAAATGTCCAAACGCGCTCTGATCACTCTCTCCCGGCGGAGAGCTCTGCGGAGAATTTGGGCTTCACGATCTACTGGCTCTTCAAGGAAGGGACACGCCATGTCCGACACTTCCTACTGTCAGGTTTCCGACAAAGGGGCGGAGACAGTCAGGGTTAGTTGTAGTAAACCTGCTAGGGGGCAGGTTAGCTTCACGGAGTGTGTCGTCATAGTGACTCACTCAGGCTTCAGCTGAACTCGCTTTGTGAAACCGAAAACCCAGAGTTTTCGTTAACTCAGGGTATACTTACTCAGTTTTTCCACTAAACCGGCTTCCTGAAACAGGGCCCTGTTGTTCCATATAGGGGTATTGTGAGGAGTAAAGTTATGTTTGTAGATTAATTTCCAGTAGAGAAGGACCTGCTGATGGAAAGCTGAGAGTTTAACAGGTAACGAACTGCAATCAAAGTCACAACGTAACAAAAAGTCTATTCCACCCATTTTGCCAAAAATCACACTGGGAATAATGTTCCAAAAGGAATTTTTGTTCCTAATGAAAGATCTTAACCATTTCAATTTTAAGTAGCATTAAAGTCGTTTTTACCGCACTGATAGTGATGGGAATTCAAGATCTTTTTAGAGAACTGGGTCTTTCGGCTCCCAATGGGCTCTTTGGGTTGTTTTGTTGCTTTAATTAATTTATTATCATCAACAATATAAAAATATGCACAAAAGGAATTACTAATGTTAAAAAAACGTGGTTTTATTTATTTATGTTTATATATAAATATATAGGGTGGCCCCTGGAGACAAAGCAGAGGGAGAAAGAGAGCCAAGGACAACAACAAGAGACAACATCGTCACATTAGAAAGGTATAGTAATCATCCACAATTATTTTCAGTTGCAGATGATAAAGGATTCAGAAAGTTTATTCATGCAGTGAATAAAGGACTGAATAAATAAAAGTATATTTACGGTGGCCCCTAGAGACAAAGCACGTACAAGCTCCAAAACACATTTCTAGCGTTAACTGAACTTCCGAAACAGAGCTACCTAGATCACTTAAATTACACAATTGAAAGCATATGTGTATTGTTTGGGTATGTAATAATAATTAAAAATAATAATAATAATAATTTTTAAAAAAATGTTCATTTACCTGTTACTTCACACCAAATCCGGTCATTGGTACTTCCTGGCTTGTGTAGCCAGTAGGTAACAAAAGCTCAACACTGCCCCCTAGCATCCTGGAGCACGTCTGTTGTGATTTTACATGTTTTGGAGTTTGTACGTGTTTTGTCTGTAGGGGCCACCGTAAATATACTTTCATTTATTCACTCCACATAAAATGTAATAAATAAATCATATAATACAAAAACCAAATATGTACATTTCAACTTTTAACTATTTAAATTTTCAGCTTTTTCCTTTTAAACAAATTTAAAGTGAAACAACACAAAACACTGCAAACCACAACACGATTAAATATAAATTAAAATAAGAAAACAAAAAGAAGATGCACATTCTCTGTCATACAGGCCTGGGATTATTTTTTGGGAGAGTGTTTTCCTGCTTGGAATTGCATACATAGGATTCACTGCATGGATAAACTTTCTGAATCCTTTATCATCTCCAACTGAAAATAGTTGTGGATGATTACTATACCTTTCTAATGTGACCTTGTTGTCCCTGGCTCTCTCTCTCTCTCTCTCGCTCTGTTCCTGTGCTACTGCGAGTGTAACTATCGCCCCTCCCCCCTCTGCTCAGCGCAAAGCACAAGGCTCGCGTGCGGAGTGAAGCGGAAAAAAGTGAGAGAGAGAGAGAGAGAGAGAGAGAGAGAGAGAGAGAGGGGGGGGGGGCTGAGAGAAAGAAAAAAAACCCACGGCTCGCGATAAGGAGCCAGTCGCGTCGGTCACTTCAAAGAGTCGGCTCTAAGAGCCGTTTCGCTCGCGACCGGCACATCACTATTGTCTGAAGTGAAAATTGAATATGAAACCTTTATTTATTCAAACTGTGAAACACTGGAAATAAAGTTTAAACAGACAGTTACTGATGGATGTTCAGCCCTGTCAGAGCCACGCTTGTCCACAGTAACCACACTGGCCCCAGTACAATAATAACATTCAAATAATGACGCAGCAAACAGTGACATCATATCCCAATTATGTTCATTATATCACATTAATGTTTTCTATCGTCTAATTAATATAATATTATACTTTACACACAGTTTTATTTTTAAATACATTTACATTTTAGTTATATCATAACTGATCATAAGCGATGAATTACATGCATGAATCATAATATAATTATAATTCCTGTAAGTGCGGTGTTTTTCCTGCAGGGGGCGGTAGTTTGCTTGCTGTTATTGTCGTCAGCAACATGAAAATATGAGCAGAAGAAGAAGCTGTACCGTCAGCAGCTCCACGGGAAAGAAAGAGACTCACACCAGACTCCGTTCAAAAAGTGGCCGATTTAAGGTCAGAGCTGCAGCTTTAATACAAGAACTGTGTGTGTAACTGCAGACGGTTACTGCAGGTTTCAAGGTGGAGGCTCCCACTGCTGTGGGTGGAGTTAAAGGGCAGATCACGTGGTGATTGGCTCCAGCAGAGTCCAGGCCGTGATCAGCAGCTTTTACAGCAGCTGGTTGGTTATTGGGTGAGTGGGTCTAACCTTTGATCTTGTTATTCTGAATAACACAGTACATTTGTTTCCAAGGCAACTGACATTAAAACAAAATGCTCCTCTCCTTCCTGCACTGCATGCTGGGAGTGTGAGTGAGTTTGTTTGGGCTGTATTTCAGAAGTTTACACCCTGTGGTTGTTCATTGGTTAAAGGTAAGATAAGTTTATTTCACTGGGTTGTGTAGAATGAGGAGTTTGAGTTAACAGTTCACTGTTGAGCTGGACACAGACCAGAACATGGCAGAGAACGAATTAACCCAGGAATTAAAATATACTCATGAGTCAAAGTGACGAGTGTCACTGTAACAGCAGTGATAAGGTCAGCAACATCACCTGTGGGCTTCATCATCGGACCATCGTGCAGCAGTAGCACCGCAGCGGTGCTCGCATTAACAGTTCAGTGTTCATGATGAGATTCTGTTAAGCTTTTAGTCTTTTTTGGAGCCAGTGGGTGTCGAGGAAAATCCCTTGAAGTCGTTAACTCAGTGGGAAATCAGGAAAACTTGAATGAGAATCTTTTGTCTCTATATCAGCTACAGGAGGGAACAGTGGACTCTGGGAAATTTGTTTTTCCAGGAAACTGTTTTTCCTGCTCCTCCACCACTGCAACAAAGCTTCGTTACTCGGTCCTCTGCAGTCCAGGTGGTGCGGTGCTTTTAGCAGCAGGTTCTCCGAGAGGCAGCTGGAGGTTCGTGTGCAAGCCTCCGCTGCAGAAACGTAGTGGCTCTGCAGTGGGGGGTGGTCCATGGGTCCACCCTGCTACATTAGTGGGGTGGATGTCCCAGCTACATCACTCCAGCAGCGGCGCTGAGAGTGCTCATATTCCCCTCCCAAATACAGCAGCACAGCAGCCTTTCCAGCTTTCTCATTGGTCAGGCAAAGATGGGATTCATGCTAACTAGGAGAAAGAAAACGAGGTCCACAGATGTTGACCTCCAGGGTCTGACTGCTTATGAAACGGCGGCACATCCACATGTTTCTGTGAAGACTGAACTCTGATGCTGTGCGTCTGTGAACACGTGCAGTAATATTTTCCCCTCTTTCTTTGTGTAACTGTTGACAAAGAGTTGTTTCAAAAGTCAAAGGTCAGAGGTCAAAGGTCTCCTCCTCTCTGAGGTCGTCAGTCACAGGTCCACACTGTCGGACTCTCTGGTGTCAGACCACAGACGCCGTACCTGAGCGTTTGTCCTTCAGAGAATCAGGTGTGGAGGTCATCTGCTGTCACCTGTCTGCAGGTAGGAGACCCCGCCCACATCAGAGCCATGCTGAGACCTCTGAGGCTCCTCCTCTCAGGCCTGAAAACGCAGCCAAGCCGCTGCTGCTCCAGCTTCGTGTCCAGGATGAGGTAACTCGTTATTTTGCTCGATTACTGATCGATCAGTCGGTCGATCGATGGGCTGATCAGCTGATCTGTCCTTTCAGGTATGTGAACAGGCTGAAGGAGGACGACGAGGCGTGCGCGGCGGCGCTGAAGGATGGCTCCATCTTCCTCTTCCACCGCTTGTCTCCTCTGCTGCGACGCCCTGACGCCAGAACCTTCAGCCCAGCAGCTTTCACCTGCTCAGGTACAGAACCGAGACCGAGCGAGCAGCGCTGAGGACCTGACAGTCCGGTGACATTCCTGCTGAGACGCTTTTTCGTGTTCCAGATGTGCAGTTGGTCCTACAGAGGCTCGGTTCAGACGGGTCGCAGCTGAAGGAGGCAGTTCTGATTGGCTGTTCTGAGCAGAACCAGGCTCAGTTCTGTCTGGATGTCGGTGAGAACGATTGAAATCCAGATCCCTGCATTGTGAGCTCGCCAGCGCCATGTTCCTGACTCTGGAGGTTCTGGTCTCTGTTCAGGAGAACTGGACCAGGCGGCGGTGGAGGAAGCCTCTCAGGGGACCTTCATCGATCTGAGGAAGGCCTTCTTTCTGCTGCCCGCAACTGAGGCGCCTCTAGTGTCCAAGGTGAGTGACTGCAGCTGACCTCTGATACCCACCTGTTCGGTTCTGGTACCAAATCAGGAACGTTTCAGCACAGTCCCACCAAACCGATGCTGATACCGCCCCAGTAGAAGAGTCACACAGTAGTCTGTGTGTCCTGACCCTGCAGGGTCAGGCGCTGCTGCGTTGGCATCAGACCAGCAGGTTCTGCGGCGCTTCGGGCCAGCCGACTCAACGAAACCGAGCAGGCAGCCAGAGGTTCTGCAGCAGCAGCTCCACCGTCTACTACCCGAAGGTAACGTCCTCGGTGCAGAACTGAACCAGAACCGAGCCGGGTCTGACTGTTTGTGTCTACAGATGTCTGCGGTGGCGGTCGCTCTGGTGTCTGATGGGAGTCGGTGTCTGCTGGGCCGCCAGCCATCCTTCCCACGTGGACTCTACAGCGCTCTGGCCGGCTTCTGTGACATGGGTCAGACTCACCCGTGTGTGCGTGCGTGCGTGCGTGTTTGTGTGTGTGTGTGTTTGTGTGCGTGTAGAACTCACCTGTGTGTGTGTGTGTGTGTGTGCGTGTGCGTGTAGAACTCACCCGTGTGTGTGTGTGTTTGTGTAGAACTCACCCGTGTGTGTGTGTGTGTGTTTGTGTGTGTGTAGAACTCACCCGTGTGTGTGTGTGTGTGTGTGTGTGTGTAGAACTCACCCGTGTGTGTGTGTGTGTGTGTGTGTGTGTGTGTGTGTAGAACTCACCCGTGTGTGTGTGTGTGTGTGTGTGTGTGTGTGTGTAGAACTCACCCGTGTGTGTGTGTGTGTGTTTGTGTGTGTGTAGAACTCACCCGTGTGTGTGTGTGTGTGTGTGTGTGTGTGTGTAGAACTCACCCGTGTGTGCGTGCATGTTTGTGTAGAACTCACCCGTGTGTGTGTGTGTTTGTGTGTGTGTAGAACTCACCTGTGTGTGTGTGTGTGTGTGTGTGTGTGTAGAACTCACCTGTGTGTGTGTGTGTGTGTGTGTGTAGAACTAGCCTGTGTGTGCGTGTGTGTGTGTGTGCGTGTGTGTGTGTGTGTGTGTGTGTGTGTAGAACTCACCTGTGTGTGCGTGTGTGTGTGTGTGTGTGTGTGTGTAGAACTCACCTGTGTGTGTGTGTGTGTGTGTGTGTGTGTGTGTGTGTGTGTAGAACTCACCTGTGTGTTTGTGTGTGTGTAGAACTCACCTGTGTGTGTGCGCGTGTGTGTGTGTGTGTGTGTGTGTGTGTGTGTGTGTGTGTGTGTGTGTGCGTGTGTGTGGTCCCAGGTGAGACTCTGGAGGAGGCGCTCTGCAGGGAGGTGGCGGAGGAGGTGGGTCTGGAGATCCAGAGCATCTCCTACAGCTCCTCGCAGCACTGGCCGTTCCCGCACAGCTCCTTCATGCTGGGCTGCCACGCCTTGGTTAGCCCCGCCCACACTCAGGTGAGCTCACAGGTGATTATTGAGGTTGTGTAATCAGGACGAGGAGAAGCGAGCTCGGAGCTCCTCGTACTCAATGATGTAGTGTCATGTGACCTGCTCTCGTTTCATGTGCAGCTGAGCGTGGACAACTCAGAGCTAGAAGATGCTCGCTGGTTCACCATGGACGAAATCACCCGTGCCCTCCAGGTGAAAGCTCCGCCCAGGAGAGGCGACCCCCCCATCATCTGGCTTCCTCCAAAACACGCCCTCGCCAACCGCCTCATCAGGGAGTGGGTGGAGCAGCAGCGGCAGAGTGAGGGCGGAGAGTGATGGAGGCGGAGCTGCAGTCGGAGTCATCAGATCACACCTGAAACACGGATGTTTCACCTCCGCTCCTGAGATCTCACAGTTCAGAAGTCCATTCAGATTCTCTGATTTTAGCCTCCTTCACAGATCTAACCTGTGACCTTATTGAAAGAAACTTTTAATGTGAAAAACATTCAGTCAGTCACGACAGGAAGCAGCTCGTGGTCTCTGACCTGCTGATGTTTCCTCCAAACTGGTTTTAATTTTCAATAAAAATCCCAGAATGGAAAAAAGCTAGTGCTCGGTTTCTTTTGTCTGAGAAAGAATCAGCAAACACCAGCGTTCACTCATCAAACGTCCGATTTAACAAACGAGCTGTCCGAGGGGCATTCGAGGCCGCGGTGGCTCACCTGTCCAGGTTTACCTGAGGGCTCGCAGGACAGACATGAACTCGGGTGGAAGAGAAACATTTTCACTGCCCTGCTTCTGCTCAGCTTTTATTTTGGTATTTCCTGTGAAACACTGGAGGGGCGTGATTGATCACTCTTCTTCTGTGGTATCTGTCCTCCGGGCTCACTCAGGATAAAGCAGTTTGTGATGACAGGTTTGCTCTGCTCGTCCTCAGAGTGTGAGGAAGCTCCCAGGATAAATGAGTCAGTCTGGTTTGTGAGATTCGTATCAGGACGATAAATAAATGAGACCGACCGCCCTGCGTGCAGCTTTGACCCAGAGTGGCAGCACTGCTGAGAGCTAAACATGGTCTTCTCTGTACACCAAAGATTTCTGTTTATCCATCATGTTTCTGATTGGATGGCTGTAAATGGAAATAGAGCAAAACGTTTTTTATTGAAAGTGTTTATTTGTTTGATTTTTAGATGAAAAAATAAATATTTAGCTACTCGTTGGAGGCACAAACCGTAACGTGTAACCTGATCCAGCCCAGAAACAGGCGGAACGACAGTCAGACATCCGTGAGCGCTGTCCGGATCATAGTTAGAAACGGAAGCTGCTTCCTGTTTGAACCGGAAGCCAGAGCAGCTCTTGGTGCAACCCCCCGTGTAGTTCGGGTCTGTGGGTCGGATCAGACTGGACTCTCGGTTCTTTCCTCCGGGCCCTCTGTCCTCTGAGTAACCGCTGAGAGCGGCCCGAGGTCCCGCTGATGGTCGGCAGGGCTCCGCGGCCTGTCAGCCCGCAGGATGAGCTTCTCCGCCGGCCTGCACACACAGCTGGCCGCCGTCATGGAGTCCCTCGTCCACGCTGCAGTGGCGGAGCTGAAGAAGCTGGTGGAGGCCGGAGAGGAGCCTACTGTGCTGGCCAGAGAGAGGACGGAGAGCCGCGAGAGGATGGTGAGGAGCGAGGACTGCCTGGTCGTTTGTTTTAATCAATTTTAAATCCTGCTTTTTATTTGTTTTTGTTTCTAATGTCTCTGTAAAGCACTTTGAATCACCTTGTTGTTGAATTGTGCTGTACAAATAAACTTGCCTTGGTGTGGTGGTGTGACTGGTGGCCCAGGCTAACTGGTGGTGGTTGTATAGTTTTGACCGTTGTCATGGTGACGGGGTGTGACCTCTGACCTCAGGTGCTGTTCGCCTCCATCATGGAGACTCTGGGGAACGAGGCTCTGGGGAAGATCCTCAACCTGCTGGATGAAGTCGGGCTGACGGCGGAGCCGCCGTCGGGCCGCGGCGCCCGGCGACTGCAGACGAGCGTACTCAACGTGCTCAGCAACGCCCATATAGGTAAGTATTGGCCCCGCCCAAAAACTCCACCCCCGAGCCTCAGTGACATCACCCTCACTGTGTTATGTTTGTGGCAGAGCTCGAGCACTCGTATGGACTCCGGCAGCAGGGCGGTGACTCAGCCACGCCCCCTAAGGTAAGCCTGCTGCTCTGGCTCACCTGTGCTGCGTTCACTGACCGTGACTGAGTGTATGTATATGTGTCCCTGCAGACCAGTTCGAAGGAGGAGGAGCAGGAGACGCCGCTGGTGCTGGCGGTCACCATTAAGGACGAGCACGGGAACATCAACCTGGGCGCAATCGCAGAGAGTGAGTGCTCGACCGCGGCAGGAAGTATGCCCGCATGTGTGATGGTCTGATCAGCTGTGCTTATTCTCTCAGGAGCCGAGGTGGAGGCGGCCCCACCGGACGAGTCGGAGCGGCTGTTGTCCCCATCGACGGTGACGAGCCCGGCGGGCTTCGTGCTGGAGAGCGTCACCTGGAAGTACTTCACATGCACGGCGTGCGGGAAGTCCTTCTCATCTCAAAGCAACCTCAATACGCACCTGCGCGTGCACACGGGAGAAAAGCCATTTTTGTGCAGCGTGTGCGGCCGCGCCTTCCGCCAGCGGCAGGGCATGCAGAGCCACATGCGCACGCACACGGGCGAGCGGCCCTTCGAGTGCCCGCAGTGCGGCAAACGCTTCTCCAAGCAGGGCCAACTGAAAGCGCACGCCGTCGTGCACACGGGCGAGAAGCCGCACGCCTGCGACCAGTGCGGCCGCCGCTTCAATCTGCCGCAGAACCTGCAGCGCCACAAGCGGACGCACGCAGGCGCCAAGATCTTCGTGTGCAAGGCATGCGGGAAGGGATTCACGCGCGCCGTCACGCTGCGCACGCACCAGCTGATCCATAGCGGCCAGAAGCCGTTCAGGTGTGAGCAGTGCCACAAAGCTTTCCGGCACGCTGTCAACCTCAGGAACCACCAGCGCACACACAGCGGCGCCCGCCCCTTCGCCTGCGACCTCTGCGGGAAAAGCTTCCGGCAGGCGGTGAACCTCAAGATCCACCGCCGCACGCACACGGGCGAGCGGCCCTTCTGTTGCCGCCAGTGCGGGAAGACGTTCAGCCAGCAGAGCAGCCTGATCTCGCACGGGCGCACGCACTCCGGCGAGAAGCCGTTTGCGTGCGGTGCCTGCGACAAGAAGTTCAACAACAGCAACAGCCTGAAGCTGCACACACGCGTGCACACGGGCGAGAAGCCGTATGCCTGCGACGTCTGCGGCAAGAGCTTCAGCCAGGGCAGCCACCTGCGCACGCACAAGCGCCACCTGCACGCCGGTGGGAAGCAGTACATCTGCGACCGCTGCGGCAAACGCTACGCCGACCAGCGCAACCTGAAGCTGCACAAGTGCGGCTACGCCTGAAGGGCGGGGCCTCTGATTTGGCAAACAGACTCTGGCTGTTCCTTACACTCTGATTGGTTGCAATCTGAGTCGATGGTTTCAGAGAGATGGACCGCAGACACCTGTGCAGGAGCACACCTGTCCACCTGCTGCCTTAATGGGACGGCGCGCCGCTTCGGCTTACGCATGACGTCATCACTGAGGTCACTGTGAACACTGATAATACTCAGACGTGAACTTTAATTTGAAAAGGTTTTGATGACATGAAGTGACCTTTCAAAATAAAAAACGTTTATTTTTGTTCTGAAATGTTTGTTTATCATTTTTATAAAGTGACGTAAGAAGACAAACATCCTGCAGGACGGATCCATGAATAATAAAAATAATAATAATAATAATAATCAAAAAGTGTTGGTGATCAATCTGAGGAGCACGAGGTGAGCGACTGCAGCTTCCTGTTTCATCAGCAGGTGCAGCACACCTGTCAGCACATTCCTGAGGCCCATCCAGAATAAAGTATAAAAAGTTAATGAGAAAAATAATAATAATAATAATAATGGAGTGGATTGATATAGCGCTTTTCAAGGCACCCAAAGCGCTTTACAATTCCACTATTCATTCACTCTCACATTCACACACTGGGGGAGGCAGCTACAGTTGTAGCCACAGCTGCTCTGGGACAGACTGACAGAAGCCAGGCTGCCATATCGCGCCATCGGCCCCTCTGGCCAAAATAAATGTTAATACTTTAAAAGGTGGGGGCATGGTCACAGAAGGTGGTTTGGGTGTGATGTCAGCGAGCGCCGCACAGAACGCCGCCGTCCTGTGAATCGCAGTCGACTCAGATCAAAGTAGAATTCACATTTCTGTTTCTGTTTTTCCTCTGAAACTCCTGCTCACAGAGGAAGAACTGATACAGTTGTGATGGTGATCAGGCTGGTCCCTCACACCAGCACGCCTTCAAACACTCAAACTTTATTAGCACAGCAGCTGTTTCACACATCCACAGCTCCCTGATCCACCAAGTGTGTGTCTGATGTCAGGTTAGCCCTCCTTTATAAAGTCAGCTGTTGGTACAATAATCAATGTGACTGGTCAGCTGTTGGTGGCCCCGCCCCTTTATGTGATGGCCAGCTGAGCGCCACGTGAACCCGGGGGCAGAGAAACTGCACCCAGGTCAGTTTCACGCCCACAGCAGGAGTCTGATCTTTGATCCGTTTCTGGTCATTCACAAAGTGTATTTTAGTAAACTTCAGGTGTCAGCCTGCGGAGCAGGTGAAGGGTCATCCTCCAGCTGTTTGTTTTTTTTTAACTTTATTTAACAAACAATGAGTATACAACATACGAACAGATGAAGTATACAAAACAACAAAATGAACACACAAAGCCAGGGGTAAATAGAAAAAAGTAACAATTATAAGAATACACGCAAAAATTCACATACATGTATTGTTTTGAGCGTTTTTGTTGGTGGAGTCTGATATTGATTGTATGTATATTTCCACATCCTTAAAATAATGACAGAAATATGGTGTTTTGTTAGTAAACTTACATGTATGGATAAGAAATTTAGCTAAAAGTATTTATCATAAAAAAACATTTATCATTCTTCTTGGGGAACTTAAAGAAACAAAACATTTTCCCATCGTAAAGAAAACTCCCTTAAAATATGGACAATGACAAAACCCTCCAGCTGTTAGTCTACTGAATGCGCAGTCATCACGTGTTCCGTGTCACATGAACTACTCCACCTCAGGTCCTCAAGAACGTTTCAAGGTCCTGAAAGGTGCATAGAGAACACGTCCAGGAAGCATGGCAGGACCTCAGGGAGTCTGAATCCGAGGGAAAATAATCAGATTACACACACACACTTTTTCTCTTGAGTCTGTTTGAAGCAACATCGGTAAATCTCCCCGTGGAGGCCTCGCGGAGAGCCGTAGGCGTCTGAGGCGCGCTCCAGTCCAGCAGAAAAAAACTGGTCCTGTCCTCCGGCCGCGGGGGGGCGCTGTCCTCTCGTCACAGAAGGGCGGTTACTTTTCTGTTTCCGGGTTTTTGGAGAGCAACGTGTGGAGGTAACCCGCATCTCGGCACCAAAACACTCCGACACTCCGAACCAAAGTGACCGAGCGGGAACGACTGTAGTCCGGCCTGACACATCGGAGACACCGGA